ACCTGAAGGAATAGAACCTCAATTGAGAAATGATTCCCTAAGGTCCAGCTGTAAGGCATTTAATTAGTGATTGATGGGAAGGGCCCACCCATTGTAGGTGGTGCCAACCCTGGGCTGGTCGTCCTTGGGTTCTATAAGAAAGCCGTGAGGAGCAAGCCATGAACAAGCCAGTGAATAGCACTCAATGTCCTCTACCTCACCTCTTGCCTCCAGGTTCCTGCCCTGTGTGTTAGTTATTGTCCTGATCCTTGATGATGAACAATAATAAGGAAGTGTATGCCACATAAACTTTTTCTTCTTCAGGTTGCTCTTTGTCATGGTGTTTCATCATACCCACAGTGTCTGTGACTAAGACCTTTACCAAATGACTTCCTTTTCCTTCTCTTGCCAACGTGTGTGGTTAGCAGTCCGATAACCACGTTGGAGCTCACCGTGTCCCAAACCTTGGGGTCTCTTATACTGTTATATGGAAAATAGTGTCAGTGCTGCAGATGGACGTCAGGCTGTTCCAGAGATGGTCCTCAATTGTGTTGATGAGAACAATCATTGAAGGGGATTGTTTTATTTCCACGTTGATATGTCTATCCCATGTCCTCTCCACTCCTAGCATGCCCTCCATGTCAGCACTGACTTCCTCTCACTGCTGTCCGAGGCTGTGCTTGGTTCCCTTTCTACCAAACTGGATGGAAACAAAGAACTGCGGGTGTAGACTCTGTAACAATGCATCACATCCTTGTATAAGAGGCAAGAACACAAGAAATCTCAAGTCTTTCATTTACGGTCTAGTTGTGTTTGTAGCTCTACCTCTGTGTCCAAATAAAAAGAGGCCGTTAGACAAGATAGACAAAGAACACGTCAATGCAGAAGACCAGACCACATGGAACTTGACAGAATTTTGTCAACAGTGAGGAAGGAAGGAGGAGGCTGTGATCCAAGGAATCCTGCGAAGCTGCTAGCTGAAAAACAAGGGAACCCCCCCCCCAGGAGGGTACAGATGCACTGGCGCCCTGATTCGATGTGTGTGGCGAGCGCCCTTCTGACTACCGAACTGTAAGGTAAATTGGTGTTGTGTTGAACCAGAAAGCTGTGATCATTTGTTACAGCCATGGAAATAACACATCCAATCCTCCCCTGCAGTTAGGTGTGGTCCTCTGACTGAGGTCTAGCCCACCCACTGCCACAGTTGACAAGTCAGACAACACCCAGGTTTGAGAGGAGCGTCCACTAAAGACATCCAAAAGTCCACTTCGCATCACTTAGTGGTGGACAGCAGGAGGAGTTAAGAGCCGCTCGCTGAAGAGGTAGAGACTCTGGATGAGATGATAGCTCGGGCTGTGGCTGAGAGATGGGCACTTAGCTTCCAGGCAGGACTTGCTTCAAGCTGGCGTACATTCTAGTGGCCAGTGCTCGGAGAACCTGAATCAAAGGCTAGCCTGGGCTACATAGTAAGACCCTGTTGCAAACCACTTATCTTCAGATGTTAGTCTATATTATAAGACATGGGTTTAATTGAAAGCATATGAGAAATGAGCAAGAAGTGCTGAGACCTGAGGCATGAAGGGATCCTTAACATTTATTTTCATATGTGCAATCTCTAGAGAGAGAAACTATGGGTTTGTTAGACAGATGTAGATGGAGGTGGGAGGAATGGACATATTCACAGCAATCAAGGTAGGTGATTTTTTATAATTAGAGATTCAAGCCAACAAATTGGAAAATCTTGAATCCTTATTCAAGCTAGTTCCACATGCAGGAACAGCATGGCTAATACTTAGAATGCAAGAAAAAAGAGAAGTCTTAAAATATTTTTACTTAGTAACAATCATCAAATAGAAGATTTTATCAACAATAACAAGACCAAGAGTGATCAAAAAAATAAAGTGCTGAAGGAAACAAATTTCCATTAAACACATTAATGAAATCATGAGACTGTATGTGAATTCAGGGTACTTTCAGTCACAGGAAAGTTGGGAAAACAGCTCCTCACACTTGGGACTGAGAGGCCAATTTTGTGTGAGACATAGATCAAAAAAGAAAGGCTATGGCAACATTGTAAAACAAGTTCTGTGGGGTAATATTAATGGAGCGATTGTCTTTTGCTTATAAACAGTCATTAGTGTGGGAGCAAAGCCTATTGGCCAATGGTCAATTAAACGTTACTGTTCAATAGAAAATGCTGGTTATCTCCATTAAAAACAACGACAACAACAACAATTAGTGAATATGTATATTACAAATTTAAGGTGAACAAAACAAATCCTGCCAAACACCAAAGACAGCCACGGCAGAAAAGGAAGGCCACGGGGCAGAGATGGCATCTGTTAAGGGACTCATCAGAATAGCTGGCTTTTAAAGAAGAAACTAGATCCCCCACATTATGTCCAAAATATCCCTCTAGAAACAAATTTAAAAATCATTTGGAGTAAGGCTTTGTATCTAGAAAGGTAACCTTTATAATGATAAAACACAGCTTAAGGCGGTAACTTGTGGTGCCACATGAGAAAAACCAAGAAAAGCACAGACCTGAGAAGATTGACGTGTTGAGTGACAGGGGCTGTGTGCTGGGGGAGGGGCCTGAGAGAACTAGAGAAGACCCCGAGGATGTGTCAGTAGGGAAAATGATAGGAAAGTACTGTATGTTCACAAATTGTGATTCTATTCTACAACTGAGGTGCTAAATTACATTTCTGTGTATTTCAATATTACAGTTTTGAGGAAAATGCAAACTGTAATGATGCCTTAAAAAAGATGGCATTTCAGTAAAAAAATTATGAAATGACAAATAATGCTACATTGCATTCAGCAGTAGATTGTATAAATATCACAAGTAGACATTAGAGACATAATGCAGTTATAAGTCTTAGAGACGGTAGAGTCAAGGAAGGGTCTGTAATGGGGACAAAGGAATTTCAACATTACTTACTGCTTGAGTAGGACAAAATATTAGTGATCGCCACAAGGAAGGTGTTTATACACACTGATGTGCCTACACGTTGAGGGTGTGTACATATACTGAGATGGGTTTGCACGTTGTACCAGGGTGTATACACACACTCAAGGTGTTTACACAGTGAGGGTGTTATATACACAGTGTTAATTATTTTTGTATCTTATTTTAAAAAGCACTTAAAAAGAAGAAAAAACTAGTATGTAAACAATAGGGCGTGCAAAGCAGAAGAGAAAGAACAAGGCAGAACTGAAAGAAGCCATGGAACACTCACCCTGGGAGCTGGTTGGTAGTGTCCCTAGGAAGATGGCTGATGCTCTTTCCTGACAAACAGCAGATGGTACTAAAACATATAAACAGACACTCAGGAGGTCAGCCAACAGAATCTGGGCTTCCAACCTTTGCCTGTCAGCTCCTGCACATGCTGCTGCTGTCCGACTATTTTGGTGGTGGTGATTGAACTTACAGCCTGTGCTAGCTAGTTTTATGTCAGCTTGACAGGAGGTAGAGTCACTGGGCTAGGAGGGCGTCTCAGTTGAGAAAATGCCTCTAGAAGATTGGGCTGCCAGGCGGTGGTGGCGCACGCCTTTAATCCCAGCACTCGGGAGGCAGAGGCAGGTGGATCTCTGTGAGTTCGAGGCCAGCCTGGGCTACCAAGTGAGTCCCAGGAAAGGCACAAAGCTACACAGAGAAACCCTGTCTCGAAAAACCAAAAAAAAAAAAAAAAAAAAAAAAAAAAAGATTGGGCTGAAGGCAAGCCTGTAGAACATTTTCTTAATTAGTGATGGATGGGGGAGGGGCAGCCCACTGTGGGTGGAGCCATCCCTGGGCAGGTGGTCCTGAGTTCTATAAGAAAGCAGGCTGAGCAAGCCATGAGGAGCAAGTCAGTAAGCAGTACTCATCCAAGGCCTCTGCCTCAGCTCCTGCCTCCAGGTTCCTGCCTTGTGTGAGTTCCTGTGTTAACTTCCTTAGATGATGAACATGATGTGGCAGCAAGCTCTCCCGAGTTGCTTTGCTCATGGTGTTTCATTGCAGCAGTGGAAACCTAACTAAGAGGGCCTTGCACATGCTAAGCCAGTGCTCTGCCACGGAGCTGTGTTCCCAGCTCAGCTCACGTCCTGCTATCCACCCCCCTCTCTTTTCCTGCTCTCTTCTTCCCTCCTCCGCCCCTTTCTCTGGTTTACTGTTTTCTCCTTTTTTTCTAGGTGGTCTGTGGCTAAGATTCTTCTAAGTCGGCCCTGGGGGAGTGGACGACTCGTGTGTGGTGGCGAGTTTGTCTCTCCTTAAACACAACCTAAGGAGTCAGGTGTCGAGAAGCGAGACAATACTTATAGAAACCTCCTTTGCACACCTCTGAAAGCTCACACACACAAAACAAGCAAAGTTCCGTGTTAACATCACCAGAGAGCAGGCAGGCAAAGAAGTAGAGGCAGCATCTCTTCATGAACAAGCGGATGGAGGTTAGCCAAGGCGGATCATTGTAGAAGAAATACAAGGGATGGAGACGTTCACAGGGAATACACTGATTATAGCAGGAGTTGACGAGGAGTAGGTGAGGTTTGGTAGAATAGCTGCTTGGCTGCCTGAGAATTTGAAGGGTACCACAAACCGTAACTGCACACGAATGTGGATATGATCATCAGATGTACTTCGAGAGAGCGAACACTTGGGTTTTAGTGACGTCACAGCCATAGAATTCCTAACGGATCTCAAGACAGGCCGAGCAAACACAAACACTGCCATCCTCCCTCCCGTGGACTCGGAAGCTGCGCTTGACCCCGCTGTTGACCTGTGTTGACGCCTGGCAGCTGGGGTGCTTGGGATTCTGTGAAAGTCTAGTTGACTTGTCCAGGGCTGTCGGGACACCAGCCTTAGTTCCTCCCCTGAACACAGGTGCCGCTTAGTTAGGTGTCTGTTGCTGTGATAAAGACCCTGACTGAAAGCCACTCAGAGAGGAAAACATTAACTTCATCCTGTGGCTTTCAGTTCTTCATGAAGGGAAGTCAGGGCAGGGACTCAGGGAGGAACCTGGAAGCAGGAACTGAAGCGGAGACCATGGAGGAGTGCTGCTGACTGCCGGCTGCTTCCTGTGGCTTGCACGGCAACCCAGGACCACCTGCTGGGGGGAAGGGCAGGCAGGGAGAGGGGAGACACCGCCCACAGTGGACTGGACCCTCCATCATCAATCCAGAGAATGCCCCCCTAGAATTGCTTAACAGAGCAATCTGATGGGGGCGGGTTTTCAGCTGTGGTTCTTCTTTCCAGATGACTGGCTTGTGTCAAGTTATCAACTCTCTCTCTCTCTCTCTCTCTCTCTCTCTCTCTCTCTCTCTCTCTCTCTCTCTCTCTCTAGCCAGGACAGACGCCATCATAGGGAGAATTAAGTCAAAGCACATGGGAATTTCTCTTTTATACCATTACTGCTTCTTATGGCCTTACTGTGTGCTCGCACGAGTGTGGTGCCTATAGGTGTTTATGTATGTGTGCATGTGAATGCCCGTGGACAAGTATGTGTACATGTGGAGGCCAGAGGTCAGCATTGAATATCATTCTCATTCATTCTCACCTTATTTCATTCATTTATTTGGCAATGCTGGAGATCAAATCCAGGGCCTGTGTGTGTCCAGCAGCACTTTATCACTGAACCGCACTGCCCACCCTGTCCCTTAACCTTAGTTTTTGAGATGGTGTCAGCCATCGACCTTGAAGCTCATCAGTCTGGCTTAGGATGGCTGGCCTGTGAGCACCAGGGGTCAGGCCATGTCTGCTCCCAACCACGCTGTCCCTGTGTTTGGTTCTATGTGGGTGCCAGATATCTCAACTCAGGCCCGTGTGCAGTATGTGTTTGAAATTTGTTATAAAATAAAACACTTAGGCACTGTATATACATTTTCCTATAATATTAAGCATGCATTCAATTAAATCTCAAAATGTTTAAGGTATCATAGCAACCTTATATCTGTGATTCATTTAAATTTAACTAAGCTTTAAACACTGAATTTCATGCAACCAAACTAACATCATGATTTCCATAGTCTCAGTTGGCCAGCTCATTAATATTTTTACATTCAGAAGTGATAGAAGGGAACTTGCCAGAGCTTGGGCACCCAAAAACTTAGGATAGTTGGGATTTATAGGGCCACCTTAGGGGTGACTGCAAGGCCATTAGTCTTTATGAGTTTTAAATTTTGGCTTGTCTATATGTCAGTAAAATGTCTCCTGATTTAACTTTCCCCTAAGGATGCAAACATCCACAGCCAGGAATAAAATTAGGGTCAAGAAATCTCATGTGCGCATCTGCATTGCGTCATCTGTGATCCCATAGCTTTGGGCCAGCCATTAATACTTCTCGTGGATAAATTTCTCTTCTGTAAATTAGGAATAGTCACATTAGTAAATAGACTGATTTAGGTAAGAGCTGATCACCAAGGCCCCGATGGTGAGCATCTTCAGAGCTGCTGTGTTGTGGTGGTCCCAGCTGTTTACTGTGGAGAGAACCCTGCACTGTGCTCCTGCTGTGGGCTGTGTGAGCCTGGAGGGTACCCAGTGTCCTCCACTGTAAGCTGGGGGTGGCCCGTGATGGCAGGGGCAGCTCTGGGCAGTTCATCTATATGTGGCTGTCTGAGCTGCTCGCAGAGACGAGATGACACATGCCCACAGTAGGAACCAGCACACAGTAGGGGCCAGCACACAGTAGGGGCCAGCACACAGTAGGAGCTGAGTTCACGTCTATCCTCTTCACGTTCTGTTGCGTGTGGCTTTACTTTGCAGCCTTAAGTTTCTCACACTGAGGTAGCTTCTTGCCCTTGCTGGATGTGCTTTGAGGAGTAACTGTCACCAAGGAGGTGAGTTCCCCAGGAATTAGGAGCCACAATGACAACACCAGACAGTGACCATACTTCTTTGAACCCTGGAACTTCACGGTCCAAATCATACCATAGTGCAATTAATTTTTAGGGATCTGTCCCCTAGTATTAATGCTAAGGAAGCTCATTGAGCACTTGGTGTTTGCGTGATCCAGACGCTGGGTTTCCCTCCAGCACTCAGGTGACGTTTTCTTTTTCTGCCTGCGTTGAGGCATAATTGGCATAAGATTGTATAGCTTCATGATGGTTTGATATAAACATTGCAAAATGATCACCACATTCAGCAAATCAGTGTGTCATCATTTCACAGACTGTCTTTTTTCTTGTCATGAGGAAAATCTTTCCAACCCATTCACTGAGTGAACTACAAGCATACATTAATTATTTGTCGTTATTTCTTCAGGACTCGGGCCCCTTAGAATGGCAAGTCTGTGCCTTTGATCAGCCACCCTTGGTCTTTAGCAATTGCTTTCTCATCTCTGTTTATATGAGTTTTTATTTTTATTGGCTAGTTTTTGAGAATTTCATATATGAATATTGTATTTACATTATTTCTTCCCTGCTTCTCCTCCATCCACCTCCTTCCTCATCTCTCCCACTCCTCAAATTCATGGCCTCTTATTTTTAATTATTTTTGTTATATATATACAAATTGCCCTCCCTACTCCTCCTCAAATTCTTTTATATTATTTTGTTATTACAGCCTCCCCTGCCCCCACAGTCCACCACTGAGAAAAGTCAGGGCAGGAACCTGGAGGCAGGAACCAGACCAGAGGTCACGGAGGGTGCTGTTCACTTGCTTGCTCCTCATGGCTTGCTCAGCCTGGATCCTTACACTCCGGGACCATCTACCCAGGGATGGCATCACTACATTAATCACCAGCTGATAAAATGCTCCACAGGCTTCCTACAGGCCAATCTGGAGAGGCGTTTTCTCAGCTGGACCCTTACCCAATCAATTTGACATAAAACAGCCAATCCAGACAATTAAACATGGCGAGTCTTCCAAACCAGAACACAACATGTCCTTCCGTTTTCTTGTTTCTCAGTTTCCTTAACCAGCACAGTACTGCTTTTGGTGAGCAGGTCTTTCACCCCTTGGTTTCTCAGCTGGTCCATTGCCAGTGTGGATAAGTGCTGATGGTCTCCGAATATTTTTTTTTATGCTCTGCACTGCAATGAAGCTTTGGTCTTGATGACTTTTTGAAGGAACTTGGGGTTTTCTTGTACAAGGCCATATCTACAAACAGGTGTCCCTTCCTGATTTATGTGCCTCTTGCCAGGTTGCTCTGGACAGGACTTCCAATGCTGCATTAAATAGAAGTGGTGAGAGAAGACATCTTGATCACAGAGGAAAAAGTTCAGTTTTCCACCCTGGAAGGTGACATTAGCTTTAGAGCTGTCACTTGGGGCCTTCGTTTGTTGAGGTACCTTCATTACACACCTAACTTACTAATCATGGAAGAATGGTGGGTTTTGCAAATGCCTTTTCCACAAATCTAGATATGGTCTGATGACTTTATTTGTTGTTTATTTTTTTTTTAAATCTCACTTTATTGATTTGCATGCAGGAATAATTCCCCCACTGCTCACAGAAATGATTCTTTTTTGAAATACATAATTTGGTCTCCTGTATTTTTCCCATTGTTTTTGCACCTGGTTCTTCAGTGATGCAGCTGGTATTTTCTCCTGGTGCTTCTGCCTGGCTTTGGTATCAGTGAGGGGCTGGTCTGTTACAGCAAGTCTCGAAGCATTTCTTCCTCCTCAGTTACTTGAGCTTGAGAGATTGGGATTGATTATGGAATGTTAGATCAATTCACTTGTGTGTGGGCCTGAATTTTTGATGAGAGAATTTTGCAAATAGCTGATTTTTTTTAAAATCCATCTGGCAGGAGCTGCTTCCTTGGGAGACACTTAGGAAGTGAGCCATCAAGAGGGTCAGTTCCCAGGGAAGGTATCCGAAGTGGCTCATGGGAAATGTTCTTGATGGAGTCTTTGGAAGATCATCTGGTAACTTATCTTCCCTGCTCCCAGCCTCCTCAGTCACTCAGGGTGGTGATCACCTTTGTAGGTAAAAGAATTGAATCTGTTGGGCAGCATTCTTTATGGCTGGAGGATGTGGGCACTCATTCGGTATGCTGAGACTTTTCCTTGTGGGAGAAATGATGGCCTTTGGGGCCTTTACTCAGCTTTGAGTTTGTCCGGTGGGGAAGATAATATGGCAAGAGTGAAACTGTCAATATTTTTAATGCTTTTATTCTGAAAGTCTCTTCCTGACTCCTGGAGCCCCACAAGGTTCTCCTGGACGTTGGTCTACGCTGCTTGGCACAGAGGGGAAAGCCTCTTGGTCACGCTGGTCCTCTCAGTGCAGACCTCTTCTGGAAGCACTGAGACTTTGGGGCCCATTGGAGAGGAACTAGATGCATTTTGTCCTACGGGATGCACATGAGCCTGTGGTTTGGATCCCGACTGTGCTCCAGAAGGTCACAGGTTGAAGGCTTGGTCCTCAGGGCGGCATCCAGCGGTGGGGTTTTTGGAGGTGACTGGAATCAGGAGCACTCTCACTGCATGGCTGGATTGATTTATTTATGAGCCTGTGGGTTAACAGGCTTTGGACCAGGGTCCGTGACAGTGAACATTCTGCGTCCTGAGCACTTTCCCATCCCCATGTAACCCTGCCGTGGTGTGCTTCCTTGTCACGGTTTCACAGCCGCTGGGCCAAGGCTCAGTGGGTGGAAACATCCAAATCAGAGCCAAGCTCAGGCCCTGTCTCTCCAAGGTGTCTCCTTTAGGTGTTTTATCACACAATGAGTAACACACGGCCTTGCAGATCCTCACATTAGGAGGCAGATTGATGTTCCCTCTAATTTTACCATAAATATACTTACCTCAGTCATCACATCAAATGTCTAGAGGGTTGAAGAAAATGTAAGTTCTTAATGTCTTCTAAACAGACTTATGTATTCATTTCTTAACAAGCCAGTGTCTGATTTATTTACCACTTTCTGTTGAACACGAAGTTCGGGATCCTAAAGGAAACAGAACATAATGAGACTCTGAATTGATTATACACACATCTGTGCTTCATATTAAATGGAATTCTGTTTACCTCTTCCTTTTTTTGCTCTTGCACAGGAAACACCTTGTGTAAAAAGAGAGAGAGAGAGAGAGAGAGAGAAAGAGAAAACAGACTAAGTTACCAATATCTCATCAAGAAATAAATTTACCGCTAGCCCACATCACTACTGAGGGATTTAGCACTTTCCCAGACTTTCCCATTCATTTATCCTTAATTTCAGAAAATAAAAAGGATCTAGAAGTTCTTTGCTCTCCACATACTGTGCATCACAGAGATGGAGAGGAAGGGGTCGTGAACATAAGTGGAGGGGGGTGCATGCGACAGACAGGGTGACCAGACTTTCCCCAGATCTTGGGGATTTATATTTGGGGTGTGTTTGTGTGTCTGTGTGTCTGTGTCTGTGTGTCTGTGTCTGTGTGTCTGTGTGACTGTGTCTGTGTGTCTGTGTCTGTGTGTCTGTGTGACTGTGTCTGTGTGTCTGTGTCTGTGTGTCTGTGTGACTGTGTCTGTGTGTCTGTGTGACTGTGTCTGTGTGTCTGTGTCTGTGTGTGATTGCTTCTACAACCCAAAGCTTCGTGACTCTCTAGTTATAGATTGGCTGGTGGCCCCGTCTGGTGACTTCAAACAGGAACGAGAGGCAAGTCTAGCAGTTTCTGTGAGATCGGGTGACTGCGGGCACAGTGAGCCGAGGGCACATCCGTGCGCAGCCCTGAGAGGAAGTCCTGAGGGAGGACAGTTCGAATGCTGAGGGGTCAGAGTGAAGGTCGTCAGTGGCAAGCTGAAACCAGAGGTCTGTGTGAGTCCCTGCAGAAAACCATCAAGTTTCTGAAGATTTTTATTCCAAGTTATCTTTGTAATTACTCCGTGTTCACACCAGCCTACATGTCTCAATTTGGTGGGTAACCTAACGATAAATAATGCTAGATATGGAAATCTAGCGTTCAGTGATCCTCTTTTCTCTTAAGTCAACTGCACTTAGTTAGTTGGGCTCTGGACACTGGAGTCACGAGCCTCACCTCACCTCACCATCCAGCTTCTCCTTTAGTAGTGGAGCCCAGGTGAATATCAGCTATGTTTAAATTATTATCTTCATTTTCTAAAACAGGGTTCATAAATTTTGTGTGTCTCATTTTATTGGGTAGCTTTCAAAGGATCTTTTCAACATGCTGTTTAACCTTCATGAAATCTATAAAATATGTATTTTATCTATTTAAAGTTTATTTTATGTATATGGGATGGGTGTTTTGCCTACATACATCTCTGTGCTCTTAACCACTGAGCCATCTCTCCAGCCCCTTTTTATCTTATTTTAAACATCTGTGGAATTGTTTCATAAATACTTATAGATCTTGGGGGGTGGGAGTAAGCAAGAGGTGGAAATGAACTCTCTTAACGGTCTTAAGAGGGAGACATAGTTGCCCGTTTTGAGAACGATGCACAGCTGTTGTGCATTTGCGCAGGTATGAGCACAGAGAGGCAGGCGGAGATGCAGCAGACTGTGCTGCTTGTACACATGACGCTGAAAGGGAGAAGCAGCTGCTATGCCTAAGAGACACATTCTTCACAAATTCTCTGTAGCTCCTAATCTTTTGGTCCCTACCATCCTCATAGTCCAGAAGCCCAGCACCTAGGGAGAAAGGAGAGAGAGCTCCGTGATTGTGTTTCCTCGTCATCACTGGGGCTTTGCTTACACGTCTAAGAGTTAATGTAAACACACATTTCCAGGACGGAGAAGCATGTGGGTTAACTGTAAAGGGGCACTTTATGATGTTGGCTAGGTCAGGTGACCTGGGGAGGGAGATGGCTATCACTGCAGCACCCAGCTCCCTCTTCCCGCCCAGCGTCCTGGGCTAGCTTTCAGAGACATTGCTCCCCCCCCCCCCCATGACAGTAACCGTGGCTGGATCTCACCATTCCTGACTATTAGAGCCTTCTGTCCAGCCACCTTGTGGAGGCCTCTTCACAGTGAGACTTAGACCTTCCACTGAGCCATTAGTCTACTGCCCAAGGGGTCTGTTGATCCCAAGGCTTAGTGTCTCTGCTGTCACTGAGAGGAGCCCTGAGACCACGCACGCTCACACACTACCGATCCATTCTAGATAGACTCTATCCAGTTCTGGAAGCACATGGTGAGCCGGGCACGCATACACACACAGAACCCACATGCACTAAGCGTCAGATACTCACTCTGTTCTGAAGGGTATCTGGAGAGCTGTGCCACTGTGGAAGGATTAGGCAAATGTTTCGGTTAGCTATTGACAGAGGTGCTGTCCCTAACCCAGCCTTCGGTACTCCCCCACGGAGGTCCCCCCTATCCAGCATCTCCATCTGGCTCTGTCATGCTTGCCTGTTTTCTCTCTGAAGGCTCACAGGTCCTGAGGAGAGGAAATCTGGGAGATGTGGGTGCTGAGAAGGAGGCAGGACAGATATTGAGGGGGACCCTGTGGAGAGGGACCTTAACTTTGTGGCCCTGTCCCTTTCCTCTTACAGGTAACCCCCAGGGTTTGTATCGCTGTCTCCCACGCTGCCGCTTGCAGCCCCGGGTTCTTTCTGCACACTGTTGGGTGTGGCTTCTGCCAGTGTTTTCCCACACTTCCAGACTTGAGTTCTTTCCTTTGGAGCTCAGACAGAGTTTGCTTTAAAGTATTCTTATTCCTCTCGCTAATTTGTCTGTTTTTGTCGACAGTGCTGATAGCGTAAACTTTAGAATTTCACATTGTGAGCAGAGTCACTGGCAGGGTGAGATCTCTGACATCTGTGTGGGACACACACGGAGCACACTGGCAAAGCCTGTAGCTATCAGGGTTGCATCCCAGCTTCCTTCTCTCTGAGACTTTCATGGGGAGTCACCATGGTTACTCACCATTTTGCTTACGCCGTGTCCATCTCGCTATCAGAATAGCCAGAATAACAAGGCCCAGCAGAGTCAGGGTGACAGCCAAAATCACTTCTAAAACAGAAAGCACCTGTAAGCTTTGGGCCACGCATTCACTGGAGACAGCTGCTGCCGTCATACTGTCCTGTCCCTCCTCCCTGCTTTCTCAACTCTCTGATTGATTTACTGTTGTTTTTAGATGGGGTATCACATAGCCCAAACTGGCCTTGAACTCACTATGTAACTGAGGCTGGCTTTGATTCCTGATTCTTCTGCAGACTTTGCCTTCCGTGGACAACAATACCAAGCCTCATGGCCAAGCCCAGCTTCTGGATTTATCTTCCTCATGCTTCTGTCACTCCTGTTTCAGCCCAGTTTTAGCTCTTACACTTGTTCCCTTGGTGCTATAAGAGCCCTGGCTGCTATAACCCTTGCTTTAAAGTGGGCAATCTGAGGGACCCTGCCTCTGTGGAGCCCCTTGGTAGAGCGGGAGAAGGTTAGGGAGATCAGTGGTCTGGCAAAGCAGTCCTCTGAGGTATGAGGAAAAAAATTAGAATTCTATTTTTTGGTGTATAATTTAACCTTTTATGTATACATTTCCCATTTTCTTTAAAACATAAATATTAGTATATTTGTACATTCATAACATTTACAGCTATATGAGGCATGACATACTCTTTTTTTTTTTTTTTTTTTTTTGGTCTGGATGAGCAACCAAAAGTTTTGGAGGCACTGGAAAGATGCTGTCTAAAGGTAACGATATTAATGTAAGCCATATGAGAGGACAGACGTTTCTTATCAATGAGGAAGACCTTGGAGTCGTTGCCCACTGAACTGAATGATAAGGTGAATATTGGTGACCTTTGTCAGAGAGACTAGAGGATAATGCACATTAGGACTGTCTGTATATTTATATGATTGATTTGTATTTGATATTTAAGATAGAGCAGAAGAGACGATGAATGGGAGAATACATCCGTAGCCACTACAAGTCTGCTGGTGACAGTAGAAACACTGAAAAATACCAAACTCTGAATGACTAAGAAAGTAGATGATTCCACAATCAAGACTGCTTCCAAAAATCACCAGTGGAATCCATGTCACAATGTAACCACACCCCCAACTGGCAGATTTGGCTTATGTCTACTGAGCCTTTTTAGATGTTTGGCAATGTGAGAAAATTCTGCTGCCAAACCCTTTACCTTTAGAGATTTGCTCTGAATGTCCCTCTAAAGTCAGCAGCCTGTCTCCATCATGAGAGTGAGATGAACTTAGATGGTGGGCTCAGAGGAAGTCCCAGAAAGCAACCATCCCTTTGCTTGGTATCTGAAATGCTCTTCGAGAGGGCATTTGGGATAGCGTCATCCCGTGTACAGGGGTGTGGGTGGGGACGGGATGAAGTCCTTATTTCTCAGTACTGAGGCAGTCTTGGAGTGAACAGTACTGTAGGAAAGATAGCAGAGGCACTGTGGACAGTGGTTACTCTGAGAGTTCAAACTTCAGGAAGCAGAAAAGATTGCTCCAGAGACGAGGTGATGGTGGGCAACTCTCCCTCAGCTTCCCAGAGGAATCAGTCAGAACAAAAGAATGAATATTGTGTTTGAAAGACACAGGCAAGCCAGCTTCGTAAATGTCCCCAAGACAAGACTCTTGCGACAGTAGCTATCAAGGAAATGCAAGAGAGGAAGCTGGTTCTTACCTAGGTCTTCCATCTTCTGGTTAGTGTCTTCAGTGAGTTCCACATCATCTGGATTCTTGTGTCAGAGAGAGATCAAGATCAAACAAATGCCCCAAGCGCATCGCCTCTGAGCTGTGAGAACCTGAGTGTTGGGGAGACCTTGTAGACAAGGGTGCAGAGGGTCTCCCAGGAATTGTGTGGCTTAGGTTCATCAGACCTAAGCAGGTTATGGTCTATGAAGATTCCAGAATGGGTGTCATAACAAAGTCTCAGAACTTCTGAGGCAAGGGAAGTTCCATGAGGCAAGGGCTTCTGGGAGACCAAATTCAAGAACACTTTGGTGGATCTTGAATTCACATATGAAACTCATACTATTGGCCTTTACAATAATTTCTAATAGTCTGGACACTTTGGCTCAAGAGATTTCATGTTAAGAACCTTGGGTAGAGTAGCTTTAAAAATGTTTCATTGTGAAAACCTCCTATATTTAAAAATAAGAGCCTTCAGATGAAGATGGACAGAGGAAGTGAAGGCATTGAGTCAGGTGACGGAGCTGAGGGGTGTGGTCCTGAGGACTAAGCCACCAAACGGGGTCTCACACACCCGTGTTGATAACAAAGGAATGAGCACCTATTGCTGAAGTCTGTTAGCCCCAAGGCTGTGCAGTAGGCAGCTTGCAGCACACAGGCAGCCCCCG